TTATTGTATCTTCATTATGATAGTAACTATCAAACAGAAAGGCATGCTGGGTGTGGTGATGAATGCCGACAATTCCAGCATTCAGAAAGCTGAGGTATTGGAAGCCAGCTTAAGGGCATCCGAGCTGTGCAGTGCCCACAGAGGACAGAAGACGGCATTGGATCCCCTGGAACTGGACCCAGCATTCAGAAAGCTGAGGTATTGGAAGCCAGCTTAAGGGCATCCGTGCTGTGCAGTGCCCACAGAGGACAGAAGACAGCATTGGATCCCCTGGAACTGGAGCTAGGGATGGTTGTGAGCTGCCATGCTAGTGCTGGGAATCAAAACCAAGTTCTCTGCAAGAGTGCCCAGTGCATTTAACCACTGAGCCATCTCTCAAGCCCCCCTTCCCTTTTTGAGGCAGGGTCTCATGAAGCACAACTGGCTTTGAAGAACTTGCTATGTAGTTGAAGATGACCTTGAACTTCTGTTCCTCCTGCTTCTACCTCCTCTGAGTGCCAGTATTACAGATGTGTACTACCACGATGAATTTATGAAGTTCTGGGATGAAACTCAGGGCTTTGTGTGTGCTAGGCAAGTACTCTACCAACTGAGAATGTTTCAAGCCCAACTTTGTGTTTTGTTTCTTTGTTTTATATGTCAGTGTGTAGCCTAGGTTAGTCTTGAACCTGTGATCCTCCTGCCTCAGCTTCCCATGTGCTGTATTATATTATAGGACTGCACCATGGTGTATCCTACTACGTAGGCCGTTTATTTGGGAGTGATGACTGGATGCTAGGCAGGAGGGTAGAGTCAAGTGACAGGAGAGGAAGAATGGCAGTGAAGTCTGTTTTATCTAGCATGAATACACAGGGATTTAATCACTTGGAGGTAGACTGGGAGTCAGCATGGAACACATACTGCTTGAAGGGACAAGGAACCATAGACTTCTGGAACAAATCTTCCATTTCCCAGAACAGCCAGGCCACTACTTGAAGCAGAGCAGGCTTTAATGGGCAGAGGACACAGTCAGTGGGGAGGCAGGTGCTGGCTGCATAAGTGGGGCCCCAGCAGTGCCCCCTCCAGAGGTGTCCCCCAGCTCTGATCAACAGGGAAATGATTTCAGATGTCATAACATGCGTGATGATGTTTGTCCCTTCCCTGTCCATATGTAACAGTGTCTTCCCCTGGTAACAGGTCCCAGTTCCTAGTCCTACTAGCCATGTGACACCCCACTCCCACCCCTGCCTCAGCTTTCCAGTGCTGGGATTACACGTGTGCACTACTGTGCCTAGCCCCAAATAATTCATGCCCTTGACAAATGGAGTCTGTTATGGGGAGAGTCTTAGAGGGTATGTTGCACAGATAGCCTCTCCTTATGTAAGAAGAAAATGTTTTAATGCAATGAACTATACAAGATCTAAGATTGACAAAACTTTTAAATTTATTTTATTTTATGTGTATGAGAGCTTTATCTGCATGCATGTAAGGGCGCCTGTATGTGTAATGTCTGTGGAGGCCAGAAGAGGACATCAAATACCATGAAACTGGAGTTATGGATGATTGTTAGCCATCATGTGGATGATGGGACCTGAACCCGGGTCCTCTGGAAGAGTAGCCAGTGCCCTTAACTGCAGAACCATCTCTCCAGCCCCTAATTTAAGTTTTAAGAACCTCTATTTTTATCTATCTATCTATTATGTGTAATGTCTGTGGAGGCCAGAAGAGGACATCAAATACCATGAAACTGGAGTTATGGATGATTGTTAGCCATCATGTGGATGATGGGACCTGAACCCGGGTCCTCTGGAAGAGTAGCCAGTGCCCTTAACTGCAGAACCATCTCTCCAGCCCCTAATTTAAGTTTTAAGAACCTCTATTTTTATCTATCTATCTATCTATCTATCTATCTATCTATCTATCTATCTATCATCTATCTATCTATCTATCATCTGTCTATCTATCCATCTATCTATCATCTATCTAATCTATCATCTATCTATCTCTATCTATCTATCATCTATCTATCATCTATCTATCTATCTATCTACCTATCTATCTATCTATCTATCTATCATCTATTTATTTTGTGTGTGTGTGTACCATGGCACTTGGGTGAGGGTCAGAGGACAACTTGTGGGAGTCAGTTCTCACCTTCCACCATGTGGGTTCCAGGCTTTGAGCTCAGGTGGTGATGAGCACGTTTACCTGCTGAGTCACCTCACCAGCTGATTTTGCTTTTAAGGTTACATTTATTTTTATTTTAATTTATTTACTTTTATTTTATGTGTATGAGTGTTTTGCCTGCATGTATGTAAGAGCATCCATGCCAGGCAATGCCTGCAGAGGCCAGAAGGGGGCATTGGATCCCCTGGAACTGGAGTTTTGGATGGTTGTTAGCCACCATGTTGGTGCTGGGAATCAAACCCAGATCCATTGGTCTTTTTGAGACAGGGTCTCCCTGTAGCCCCAGCTCTCCTGGAACTTACTATGTAGATCAGACTGGCCTTGAACTCACAGAAACTTGCCTGCCTCTGCCTCTCAAGTGCTGATATTAAAGGCATGTGCCACCACGCCCACCTCTACATTTATTTTTAAATGATACATGGAAACAAAATTTGTATAGGTTCATGGGGTTGTGTGATGTTTAAACATTGGTATCAATGTGCAGAGTTTAAATCAAGTTATATGCACATTAAATCAAATTATTTCATTGTGGCAAAAATCTATCAAAATTATTTTAACTGTTTTGAAATGTACAGGACATTACTGTTATGCATAGGCCCCCTACTCTGCCTTTGTACACTGGAACTTCTTACTCTTGTTTAGTTGTTACCAAGTACCCACCCATCACCTTGTCTGATTGTTACTACGTACTCCCATAAGCCCAATTGTTACTGAGTACTCACTGATCACCCTAATTGTCTAAGCGAAAGCCTGACATTTTCTTCATAGGCAGGCCACATTATTTGATGTTACAGTATGACATCTGTTCCTACCTTTTTCTGGGCTATGCTAAGAGCAGACAGTGTCTTTCACTGTCAGAACATGTGGCACCTCGGAGGAATCATGACTGTACGTATGTATACCTGGAAAGGTGAGGCGCCCGCTCTAGGTTCATGTTAGAGCTGCCTGCTTCTAGGGGCTGTAGCGCACAGTGCCATTTGCTCCCTGCATTCACGATTCATTCTGAATGGTGTTGACGTACTTAGTGTTAATCTTTTTCATTCCACTCTTATTAACAAAGGGAAGAAAAAAAGAAAAAGAATGTGGGCTGGTGAGATGACTCAGCTGGTAAAGGTGCTTGCCACATCAAGCCTGGGTCTGATTCCCAGAACCCACATGATAGAAGGAGAGAGGTGACTCCTTCATGTCCTCTGGTCTCTATACATGCTTCCCATAAATATACAAATAAACAAACAAATAAATAAAATTTAAATTTAAGGAGAGTGTTAAAAATCTCTGTAATGGCTGGGCATGGAAGTACATGGCTTTAATCTCAGCATTAAGAAAGCAAAGGCAGGTGGATCTCTGTAAGTTTAAGGCCAGTCTGGTCTTAGGGAGTTCCAGGCCAACCAGGGCTATGTAGTGAAAGCCTGTCCAAAAAAAAAGAAAAGAAAAAATGAAGAAGAAGAAAAGAAAGAAAGAAAAAGGGAACTCTCTTTATTCTGAAAAATGTGAAAGTCACATGCATGCTTCAGGGGTAGACTAAGCATCTTTTGAGGGTATATTCAATACATGACTACCTCATACCAGTAAAGTGCATTACATAACTTCATTAGCAAAGAACGGACTTTACACACAAGGTTCTTCAGCTGCCCTAAAAGAGAAGGGATTTCCACCTGTAAAATCATCACATTTATTTGTGCTAAGCATATGTGGAGCTGGGTTTATGGTGAGATGATGACATCCTTTGATTCTGTGTTTTAAACCTGGAGGCTGTTGTTATGCAGAAGGAACTTCCTCTGATGGATTAGAATTTGGTGCTTGGGACAAGGTGTCCATTTAATCACTGAAGCAAACAAAACCCAGCTGTTTTCAAATCTTATACATGTTAATTTCTGGGCCAATGCCAGTGTAGAAAGAATTTTCAGTGTTATAATCTTTGAATTTATGAACTGCTGTGCATCAGATTAGACAAACAAAAGGTGAATTTATAATCCCAGCACTTGGGAGGTGAAGGCAGGAGGACTGTGAGTTTGAAGCTAACGGGCTACACAGCAAAATCCCATCTCAAAGCAAAAACATGCAAATAAAAATCGTTTGTTTAGAACAAAAGTATAAAAAAGGATCAGTTTGTTGAAGGCAGGGATGAAGAATATAAGCTCTGGACATTCCATGCCTCATTTAGACATCACGCCTGCCATTTAAAGGTTGTGTGATTTCAACCTGGTGGCTTAACATCTCCGGACTTTAAGTTCTTCAGCAAGAAAATAGTTCATAATACAACATTTTTAGTATGTTTAAAATAATGCATGAGGGTTGGCGGTGGAACAAGACACTACCTGTAAAACACAGGGCCCCAAATAAGGGCTCAGTAAACGAAAAGCTGTTAAAACCTCATTATTTACTGTACAGACAGTCTGTATTTCTACCAATTAACTTAGATTGATTATATAATATAAATTAGTCAAAACATTTTTCTGGGAGCTGGGGAGATGGCTCAGTCAGTACCAAGCATGAAGACTTGAAACCATGTAAAAATCCCCCAGAAACCATGTAAAAATCCAGCCATGGTGTACATGTCCTGTGATCCCAGTGCTGGGGTGGGGGTGGGGACAGGTGGGTTCCTGGAGCTCGCTGGCCAGCCAGCCTTGTTGAATCAGTGAGCTCCAGTTTCAGTGAGAGACTCTGTCTTACCCCGCCCCCTGCCCAAATAATGTGGAAAGTGACTGAGGAAGACACTTGGTGTCAACCATATGTGTACATGCAAATACATGCACCTGTGCACATTCATACATCCACATACATACACCACACATAGAGACACACCCCGTTTTTCTACAGTGCATTTTGTTTGCTGTGACTGGAACACTTACCTTTCCTTTCGGTCAGGCACTGGCAGAAGACAGGGGCATCAGACACCCATGGCACCTGCTGGTTCCTTGGTCTGTGACTTTCGAGTTTTATGGCATTGTTCCTGAGCCAGTGATCCAGTTCTTTTTATCTGCCTTTGGCTAGGAGAATAACTGTTCAAGAGGCACAAGTGATATATTTCTGCTAATTTCTGTTTTTTCTTTCAGTTGTGAATGACCAATAAATGGAATTAGAAAGGAATACTTTAGGCCTGTCAGATAGTTTGAAAAGCCTCAGTCTGAGAGAAGTTTATTTTTATTTTCTTGCAGTGCTGGGGTTTGAACCTACGGCCTAGCACATGCCAGGCAAGTGCTCTACCACTGAGCTACAGTCCAGCCCAACTCTCTTATTTGCCCACTTTGCTTGCTGTCATATACAAAACATTTTAGAAGTTCCATACATAGACAGATTTTGAGAATGGTATTTGGTACATCTCCTTTGTGTATTAGTGTTGCATCTGTTGATCAGTAGTGATTCTACCACACAGTACTACAGTACTAATACTAATATTAGTGCTCATAATAGCATTTATTGAGTGCTTACAATATACCAGTTATGGTTACAAGCACTTTACACACTAACTCAATCCTCACTATACTACGATTATTATTTCTACTTTAATGTAGTGAAATCAGGCACAAATGATAAAGGAACTTGTCCAAGGTGGCACAGCTTAAAAACTTTCATCAGTCTATATCTTCTTACTTGTACATTATTGATAATTTTATATTAGCTTTTAGAGAATAAATGGTCAGTAGTTTCAATTCTTAGTGTAGGGATATTTCTCCTGAAGATAGGAAAGGGATTTTTAATTTATTTTATTTTAAGATAAAGTCTCCCCTCTGTAGCCCAGGCTGACCAGGAACTCACCGCACTCTTCCTGCCTCAGCCTACCAAGTGGTGGGATTATAAACACGAGCCATCCAGCTTAGCTGAGAAGGGACTATTAATGAGGTCCTTGAGTTTGGGGCTTCATAGTTATAAGGTAGGACTTTCAGATGAAGGATATTTTAATATGATTATTGGGGACCTTCAGAGATCATGAAAAGACAAGGTTGTGATTCAATATTAGGACAGTGAGTAAGGCTAGAAGGTGGAATGTTCCACAGACGGCCATGGCTAAACTCAGTGGGTCACAAAATAGAACCAAAGGGGGCTTATGAGATGGCTTCACAACAAGGTGCTCACCACCAAGCCTGACAACCTGAGTTCAATCCCCAAAGCCCACATGGTAGAAGAACAGACTCGACTCCCAAAAGTTTTCCTCTGACTCCCACATTTGCACCCTGGCCACACATATACACATGCACACAAAATAAGTAAGTAAATAAATACAGTGTAATAGAAAATTTAATACTCCACAAAAACACATGGGAAAAGTACTTATAGGGGGAGGGGGGTTGACAGGGGATGAGGAGGTGAGAGAGTGAGAGCGAGAATCAGAATGCATTATGCACATGTATGAAGTTGCCAAAGAACCATTTAATAGAAGTTACATATATAAAAGAATGTTCAGTTTATAATATATAGAGTGTTCAGGGTATATGTGTGTGTGTGTGTGTGTGTGTGTGTGTGTGTGTGTGTGTGTGTACGAACTCAGGTTGCGCTCAAGTTGTCGGGCTTGATGGCAAATGCCTTTGTCTGCTGAGCCATCTCATAAGCCCCCTTTGGTTCTATTTTGTGACCCACTGAGTTTAGCCAGGGCCGTCTGTGGAACATTCCATCTTCTAGTCCTAAAATCGAATCATAACCTCATCTTTTCATGATCTCTGAAGGTCCTCAACAATCATGTTAAACATATATATATATATATATAAATTATATAAATGTAAAATGTTCAGTTAATGGATTCCATGGTCTCCTCCTCCTCCCTCCCCCTCCTCCTCCTCCATTTAGATCTGGCTACCTTGTTCAAGACTTCCTGGTCTTGAGCTAATGGTCTGGCCTAGGCCTCTGGTGTAGCTGAGACTACAGACCTGCACCAGCAGACCTAGTGTGTAGCTTTTAAAGTTTTAAAATTTGAATTCTTTCAGTGAGACTTATGCATTCATTTCCAAGTCAAAATCAAGTGTGTTTGTTTGGGGGCACATTTAAACTAATAGGGAGCCGTATGGAGATTAGCATACTTTCTTCGCCTTAGGCTCCTTTGGAAATTGAGATGAGACAAAATTGGCAGGTCTCCCCACCCCCTGCCGGAAGTGACCGACAGCAAACACCCTTCCTCACCAGGTTGTTTTGCAGTCTGTCCTTGAATCCCAGAGACAGGTCCCTTTGGGTGACTTTCACTTGGAACAGGGCCTGTTTGGAAGAAACGTTGTAGGTCAGTCGATTAAACTAAGAGTTTTAGGTCATCCGTGGGTCAACAGAACATTCTCTCAGACAGAGCGAAAGGAGGCCCAACCTGGCTTGAGGGGCCACAGGACTTGTGTCTACCACAAAGTAGCCCAACCTTGGGGTGCTGCCCGCGAGTGCCATATTTACAGAAGTGTGCCGCCCTGCCCCAGGGCTACCTGTAGAGAAAGCGTTCGATGAAGACCCCAAAGGGGATGTGTGCCCTGAAGAAGAGGCGACAAAGAACCTCTGCGCCCTTTGTGAGGCTAAAGGGCTTTGTTTGGGGTTGGAATGGGGGGACAGTGGGGAATGAGAAAGCATTTAAAAAACGGGAAACACCCATAAGGGCAGTTTGGCCCAAGTTCCTGCCCCCCCGGCCTTCCCACTGGTTTATATGGAATCTGCCCTGCAACCTGCGTCTGGGCACGTAGGGATGGGTATCCAGCAATCACACCCACAGCAGCCCAGTCCCTTATCACGACATTCAGCAGGCCTGTGGCGGTGGGAGGGAGGGCCTGGAGGAGCAGGGGGCCATCGGGTGCATCCCGCCTCTATTTGGGGGTGGAGGTGGGGATAGGAAGATTGACATCCCGATGCGCCCCTCCTCCCAGCAACTCCCCTCTCTAGTCCAGTCCTAGAAGGAGACAGAGGCCGGTGGCCACCTGCCAAGTCAGGCCTGGGCGGGCGAAGGAGGAGGGGCAGGGGACCGGGAGGTGGCTCTCGTGATAGCGCCACTCCTTTAGACTCTGGCCGCGCGGGGGACCCGGCCCGGGGCTGGCTGTATAAGAGGCGCCGGGGCAGGGCGGGCCTGCAGCGGGGAGGCGGGTTGCTGCACCCCCACCTGTTGCAGCGGCCAGGGCCGCGCGGGCTGCGGAGATGGGCCGTTACTCCGGCAAGACGTGCCGGCTGCTCTTCATGCTGGTGCTCACGGTGGTCTTCTTCGTGGCCGAGCTGGTGTCGGGCTACCTGGGCAACTCCATCGCGCTGCTCTCGGACTCGTTCAACATGCTGTCGGACCTGATCTCGCTGTGCGTGGGCCTGGGCTCCGGCTACATCGCGCGGCGCGGGGCCCGGGGCTCGCGCGCCACGTTCGGCTATGCGCGGGCGGAGGTGGTGGGCGCGCTCAGCAACGCCGTCTTCCTCACGGCGCTCTGCTTCACCATCTTCGTGGAGGCCGTGCTGCGCCTCGCGCGGCCCGAGCGCATCGACGACCCGGAGCTGGTGCTCATCGTGGGCACCCTGGGGCTGGCGGTCAACGTGGTGGGCTTACTCATCTTCCAGGACTGCGCCGCCTGCTTCTCCTGCTGCGCCCGGGCTCGCCGCCACCGCCCGCCGCCGCAGCCGCTGCACCGGGGCAGCCCGGGTGGAGCTTTGGGGGGTCCTCAGGGGACTGCGACCCCGACAGCCCCCGGCACGGACTCAGCGGTGACCCTCCGGGGGGCCTCGGTTGGAAGAAAAGAGCAGGAGGGCGCGACCGTGTTCTCAAATGTAGCAGGTGCCTTTCGGTTGCATCCTTCGGGACGCTCTGTCCTTCCTCCGCGTCCTTCGGGAGCCTGGTCCCCTGTCGTCATCACGCCCCCTTTTTCCCTTCGCTTCCCGTCGGGGCTTTTGGAATCCCTTTTGCAATCTGCCTTGCTTCTCTTGAACGTAACGGAACTCTCCCTCTCTCTGCCTTCCTCCTTTCTTTCTCCCCCCCTTCTTTTCCTCCCTCCCTTCCTCCCTCCTTGACCCTCAGCCCTTATCTCTCGCTTCCATCCCCCATCCCTCTCTCTCTGGAAGTATTGATCTTGGCAATCAGTAACTGGGCCATCCCTCCTCCCCTTCGCTGGTTGCTATCTGGACTAGGTTTCTCTCCTCCCCCTTGGCCAGCCTCAGCCCCTTGGGTGTTATGGGTTTTAGGGGGTAGGCGTGGGCTTCTGGCTGTTCCTTTTTAAATTTGAAAGTGTGTATGTGAAGCCCAATGGTGGACCAAGTCTTCCTCTGGACTAAAATGCCGGGAATGGGCTGTGTGTGGAGAGGTGGGGACTCCCATAGGTTAGGAGGAATTTAAATAACAAAACTGCATTTTGAGTTCATTGGTTCTTTTTGTTTGTAGAACTCATACACAACACAAGGTTTCTTCTTTGAATGCAGGTGATTCCCTGAACACCCGGAATGAGCCAGAAGAGACAACGGAAAAGCTGAAAAAGTCCGAAGCCCTGAATATCAGAGGTAGGACTGACTCTGGGCACTTTGACACGCTTTTCAGTATCCGTGGTGCGGTGCTGTGGTCTTCATTTGTGTTTGACTTTGAAGAAGGGAACAGTGTTGGAAGGCAGGTCAGTTACCTGCAGACTATGACCCTCCCCTCTTGCCTAATCACGGCATTGATTCTGAGGGAGAAACTAGTTGCTAATCATTTATCTTTGCTGTAATTATACCCATGGGATAACGGCCTGTTCCTGAGACCCCCAGATCAGTGTCTGGTGCTCTTGTCCCCTACATATCAATGTCATGGTCCCCTAATTTCCACATATGTGTCATGTTCTCTTGTGTATGGCATCTCTGCCATGTTCTCCTGATCCCCACATGTCAGTGCCATGCTCTCCTGGTCTCCACAGGTCAGTGCCATGCTCTCCTGGCCTCCACATATCAGTGCCATGTTCTCCTGATCTCCACATGTCAGTGTCATGGTCTCCTGATCCCCACATATCAGTGCCATGTTCTTCTGATCTCCACATGTCAGTGTCATGATCTCCTGATCCCCACATGTCAAGTGCCATGTTCTCCTGATCTCCACATATCAGTGCCATGTTCCCCTCATCTCCACATGAGAGTGCCATGTTCCCCTGATCCCCATATGTCAGTGTCATGTTCTCCAGATCCCCACAGGTCAGTGCATGTTCTCCTGGTCTCCACATGTCAATGTCATGATCTTCACACTTCTTTCTTCTGTAATCCATGTATCAGTGTCATGTTTCCATTTGCCCCACAGATCAGTGTCATGTTCCCGAGTCACACATATCAATGTCATGGTCTCCTGATCTCATGTATCAATGCTGTATTCTCTCAGATCCACATATCTATGCTATGTTCTTGTAGCTTCACAGATCAGTGCCATGTACTCTTCACCCCCACATGTCAGTGCCGTGTACTCTTCACCCCCACGTCAGTGCCATGTTCTCTTCACCTCCACATGTCAGTGCCGTGTTCTCTTCACCTCCACATGTCAGTGCCGTGTTCTCTTCACCTCCACATGTCAGTGCCGTGTTCTCTTCACCTCCACATGTCAGTGCCGTGTTCTCTTCACCTCCACATGTCAGTGCCGTGTTCTCTTCACCTCCACATGTCAGTGCCGTGTTCTCTTCACCTCCACATGTCAGTGCCGTGTTCTCTTCACCTCCACATGTCAGTGCCGTGTTCTCTTCACCTCCACATGTCAGTGCCGTGTTCTCTTCACCTCCACATGTCAGTGCCATGTTCTCTTCACCTCCACATGTCAGTGCCGTGTTCTCTTCACCTCCACATGTCAGTGCCATGTTCTCTTCACCTCCACATGTCAGTGCCGTGTTCTCTTCACCTCCACATGTCAGTGCCATGTTCTCTTCACCTCCACATGTCAGTGCCGTGTTCTCTTCACCTCCACATGTCAGTGCCATGTTCTCTTCACCTCCACATGTCAGTGCCGTGTTCTCTTCACCTCCACATGTCAGTGCCATGTTCTCTTCACCTCCACATGTCAGTGCCGTGTTCTCTTCACCTCCACATGTCAGTGCCATGTTCTCTTCACCTCCACATGTCAGTGCCGTGTTCTCTTCACCTCCACATGTCAGTGCCATGTTCTCTTCACCTCCACATGTCAGTGCCGTGTTCTCTTCACCTCCACATGTCAGTGCCATGTTCTCTTCACCTCCACATGTCAGTGCCGTGTTCTCTTCACCTCCACATGTCAGTGCCATGTTCTCTTCACCCCCACGTCAGTGCCATGTTCTCTTCACCCCCACATGTCAGTGCCGTGTTCTCTTCCACAGATCAGGTCAGGCCACTGCTTTACTTGGTTTGCACTTCTGACAACATGCTGATATTCTATGCATACTATTTTCTTTGTTCACAGATCAGGTCAGGCCACTGCTTTACTTGATTTGCACTTCTGACAACATGCTGATATTCTATGCATACTATTTTCTTTGTTTATGAGGAATTTTGTGTGCTGGGAGTGGAACCCAGGGCCTTGTGCATGCTAAGCATACCACTGAACTATGCCCACAGCCCCACTGCAGCCTGTTTTAATTGGCTGTGACTTTTGTTTGTTTTGAGACAGGGTCTTATTGGTAGCCATGACTGACCTGAGTTCTCAATATGCAGCTAGGGCCGGGCTTGAATTTGGGCAGTCTTCTTCCCCTAGCTTCCTCACTGTTGGGATGACCATGCCTGGCTTTGTGATATTGCTAAAGGTGGAAAGAAACAGGATGGGTCACTAAGTAATGCTCTGCCCTGCAGAATGTCTCTATTGCCACAATTACTTACAGCAATTATTTATTGCTGTCGAAGTGACTGTTAGTGGATTAAAACTCTCACTTCCATGTCCAAAGTGGGGGATCTGAGAGGCTGTTCTCACTGGACACTGTTGGAGTCAGCACCTCTCCTTTGTAATTTCTTAGGCACATATTTTGCTTTATAGTGATTTCAGCCTTGGGTAATCCCCAATCTTTTCTTTGCGGGGAGGGTAAGCAGGTCTCTTTATGTAGCCCATTCTGGCCTTGAATTTAGCCTCCTTCGTCAGCCTCCCAAGTGCTAGGATTACAGGTGTGGGTCATTGTGCCCAGCTAATCCTTAATTTTGACTTTGAGGAAGTGACCTTTTACCTTCATGTGGTTTGAGAGAAGACTGGAGTAAAACTTATATCCAGGTAATACAATGTACAGCTGAACACCATGTAGAGCCTTTCAAGAGTTTCATAGTTGATTCTCAGAAAGAACCTGTAGAGAAAATACAGAAAACAATAGCAACACATGTGCTCCTAAAATTCTAAATGGTGATTTTGAAGAAAATGTAATAGAGTTAGGGATTTTCCCCTAAAGAGTGTGATGGTAAGTCTTGAGAGATTCTGTAATGAAAAAAGTCATTTAATTCATCTTTCTTTTTGAGGCTCATATATACATATATCCCCCCTCTCTCTCCTCTACCATCTGTCAACCAACCAATCTATCAGTCAGCCTATCATCTATCTGTCAATCTATTGATTTACCCATCATCAATCTTCTATTATGTATCTGCCAATCTATTGTCATCCATCAGCTACACATTTCTAAGTTGACGTTTCCATCATAGAACTTAACTTTTCAAAGTGTATCCTGTTATGTTTGGTTTTATATTACAAAGTTGAGAAAAAGAACAGGTAGATGAAAACAGTAGAGTGAAGAGATACTGTGACCCTGTTTGGGACTTGATTTCGCTAATTTGGGGTTGGGTCTTGAACCCAGGGCCTCCCCCTCACATGTTCTACTACCGAGCTATGCCCCCAGCCCCAATCTTGCTAATGTTTAGTCTAAAGCTATCAACACTCTTGAGCCCTTGGCCCACAGGTTGCTGCAAACGTACACCTGAAGCGTCTCTCAGGCGAAGAACACTGTGGCTGAAGGATGGGGATTGGCTTCAAGCTGCCCGGGTTGGAGTCCCTGCCCTGCTATTTACGAATGCATCACTTAGGGCAAGCTTCTGAGCCTCTCTGGGCCTCCAGGCCCCTCATATTTTAAATTAAATCTATTTTTTTTTGTCTTTTTGAGGTAGTCTCTCCCTGTAGCCCCAGCTGGCCTGGAACTTTCTGTATAAACCAGGCTGGCCTTGATCTCACAGAGATCTGCTTGCTTCTGCCTCCTGAGTGCTGAGAATAAAGGCATGCACCACCACGCCCGGCTTCTATTTTTGATGTGTTTGTTTTAGTTTTTTTTGAGACAGAAATATCAATATGTAGCCTAGACTGGCCTTGAATTTGTGACCTTCCTGCCCCTGTCTTCCCAGTGCTGGGATTACAGGTATGCACCACTTCACCCGGCTATAAGGATGTTAACAGTACCCACCTGGTGGACTCACAGTGAGCTATGGCATGGAAAATGCTTAGGCTTGTAGTAGGAAAAAGAGCTGATGCTTTACGAGTTGCCTGCTCTGTGTCAGAGGCCATCATGGAGTCTTAGTGGCTTGTCATTCAGGTAGTGAGTGAGGTTGTTAGGCTCAGACTCCTGCTGCCTGTCATGAGGGTGCTTGTAGCTAATTAGAGCCTTTCCCTGTCTCAGGCTAAGCATGGGTCTGTCCTTATCTCAGAGGCTGGGTCCTCCTCCTGGAGCCATGACTCAGGACCACAGAGAATAAGAGCTGGAAAGACCCTGGGGAAACGAACCTCAGTCCCTCCCCTTTATAGATGGGGAAATGAGAGCTCGAGAGCCAGGCGGCTTCCCCAAGCCCCCTTGGCTAGGGCTGAGGTGGGCCCAGCCACTCCTTCGCACTTCTGGCTCTTTCTGTGATCACACATGGCCCTCTGGCCTGCAGACAGAGGTGGCTTGCTTCTCCAGTGTGCGTGTTCCACTGAGTTACATTTCAAACACCTCTGAGAAACTCCTTCTGAAAGCGGGACGGAAGTACCCTCCCTCCCCAGATGTGCATCTCTGATGGGGTTTCCGGTAAAGAAAATCATTTTTCTTTTTCCATTTTCATATGTGTATGTGGTGTGCATATGTATATGTACACACACACACACACACACACACACACACACACACACACATATATATATATATATGTTTGCATCTGTGTGATCTGTGTGGGTTCACGTGCATGTGGAGGCCAGAAGCTGATGTTGGAAATCATCCTAGATCGCTCTTCCACCTTATCCATTGAGGCAGGGTCTCTCAATCAAACTCAGAACTCACTGATATGGCTGGTTTTAGCTAGCTTGCTCTCAGGATTCCCTGTCTCTGCCTTCAGAGGCTGAAATTACAGTCTGGCCACCATGCATACCCTGGCATTCATATGGGTTCTGGGATCTGAACTCCTGCCCTTGTGTTTGCACAGCATCCCAGTTTGCTTCTCTGTTGCTGTGATAAAACAATGATTGAAAGCAACTTAGGGGAAGAATGGGGTTATCTGGCTTACACTTCCAGGTCATGGTCCATCACTGAGGGAAGTCAGGGCAGGAGCTCAAGCAGGAACCTTCAGGTAGGAGCTGAAGCAGAGAC